CTGTCAGATGACAGCAACCCCAGCTGATATGCAATTGCAACTTCATGTGGGATCCTGGGCCATAACCACCCAGGTAAGCCAATCTGAAATTTCCATTATATATAGTGAGTGATAGTAAATGCTTTTTTCAAAAGTCACTAACTTATTGCAGAGAAACATAAACCCAATACTTATTGTATGTGTGTGTGTGTGTGCGTGTTTGTGTACATGTATAAGTATTTGGTAAGAATATAGGCTATATATAGTTTAAAATTTAATAATTACCTTTACTTTAAGTTATAATTTCATGTTGGTAAAGATGGTAATTAAAAGATGATACATTGCCTGATAGTAGTATAAAGCAACATAGCCATTTTTGAGAATAGTGTTTCAACATATAACAAGAGACTTAAAATGTGTTCCACCTGGACCCCTATATCTTACTCAATATACAAAAATTCAAAATGGATCAACAACCCAAATATAAGAACTAAAACTATAAAACTCTTAGAAGAAATCACAGGTCAAAACTTCACAACCTTGAATTTGGCAATCAATTCTTAAATAGGACACCAAAAGCATATGCAACAAGGGAAAAAAATGGATAAATCAAATGTTGTTAGCATTTTTAAAATATATGCATTAAAGGGCATCAATAAACTAAAAATATATTCTTCCAAATAGGAGAAAATATTGGCAAATCATGTATCTGACAAGGATCCACTATCCAGAATGTATAAATAGCTCTTAAAATTAACTACATAAAGCAAAACCAAAAACAAAGCAATGAAAATAATTAAAAATTGGCAAAGAATTTTGATAGTCATTTCTCCAAAAAAGAAATACAAAACACCAACATGCATATGAAAATATGATAAAAATCAGTTATTAGGAAGGTATACACAAAAACTATAATGATATACCAATTCATAAACACTAAGGTAGTTATAATAAGAGTACAAAATAACAATTGTTATTAGAATTAGACAAATTAGAATTCATACATTGTTGGTGGGGTTATAAAATGATGTAGTTACTTTGGAAAGCAGTTTGGTGGATCTGCAAAAATTTCAACAGGATTATCGTATGACCCAGAAACTCCACACCTCCAAAAATGCCTCCAAAATGAAAACAGGTACTCAAAAAGTTATTATGCACAAATGTTCACAGAAGCACTATTCATAACAGCCAAAAGCTGGAAAAACTCCAAATATCCATTATTGGTTGAATGGATAAGAAAACAGTGGTACATACACACAATGGAATATTATTCAACAATAAAAAAGAATGACACACTAATAGATACTACAATGTGCATAAACCCCAAAAGCATTATGCTAAGTGAAATAAGACAGAGAAAATGGTCACATATTGCATGATTCCACTTATGTGAAATATCAAAAATAGGTAAACGAGTAGAAATCAGATTGGTGGCTACCAGATAGTAAGGTAGGGGAGAACGCAGAGTGATAGAGTGATTTGATTAATGCATATAGGGTTTTCTTTTTGGATGAATAAAATGCTTTGGAAATAGACAGGAGGTCGTGGTTGTACAACATTGTATGTACCTAATGCCACTGAACTGTACACTTCTAAAAAATTTAATTTTGAGTTAATTACTGTGAATTTCAGTTCAATTTTAAAAAGTTCTATTTCCTTTCATTCAGAAATTCCATGGATATAAACGCATCCCATAGAAATATTAAATTCAGGAGAAAAAATGGAGTATACTAAAAAATATTTTCTAAACATTTAAAAATATGGAAGTACCGAAGATCCAATAATAAGGATAATCTGTAAATTGTAGGAATCCAGACTTTGATTGAGTTTTTCTGGTTTGGCTCAGCTGCCTTACAATAAAGATAAAGAGGTAAATCGTTGTGTAAGACAATTTGTAAGTGTACAGCTATTACTTCCTAATTGAAAGCATTGGGCAAATTTGTAACTATGTCTCAAATTGCATTTTCCAGCTTTTCTGAGAATGACTTTTCACCTCTCTGAAATCAGGATAATAGTGCCTTCCTAAAACAATGCTTAATATATGATAATTCCTGTTTCCCTATTTTTATATGTAAAAAAAATAGAAGAAATGAAACACTTCAAAATTTTACTGGATGCATTTGGGTGGTTGGACTTTATGTGAAAAGCTCTTTTCATCTTTGTTAATAGTCATTACACACATGTGCACACATAAAAACACACATATAGACACACACTAGAGTAATGATAACATTTAATTACTCTGAAGCCACCAAAGATCCTAAATTGCTGGCTCAGTGAAAACTGCATAGCATAGAATGGGCTTCAAGTTCTCCTATAATGTGGAATCAAACATATTTACAGGTTTATATTTTTCCCCCCAAATTGTCAATCTTTGGGCTAGTTAGCCTGAACTGACTGCTGTCCTCAAAGTCTTAATGTTGCTTCCATGAAGTCCCATACTGCCTGCCCACCTGGAATGTTTTCCTATTCATCTTTACCTATTTGCTCTTCAAATCCCATCATATATTCCCCTCTCCAACATGATTATCTTGAATAGAAATTTCCTCTGTTCTTTAATATTCTGCGCTATGATACATTACACAATGCTGCATGTAGTGGATATTAAATGTTTGTGTCATATTACCACTATTTGATTACATGGTTCTTGAAAGAAATGGTTCGCTCTTGTGTGGGCATGTGTGTGCACACACACACAAACACACACACATGCATAATGTCTAGCCCAGTAGTTCATGCCTAATAGATCATGAAAAAATAAAATGAATAAATGAATGAAGTGGCATAAGATTGTGAAATTTAGTTTGATGAATTTTACTTATTAAAATAATAGCTTCCTCTCACTTCCAGAGATTGGTGTGTCATAAAGTATCTTTATTCTTCCTGAAGTTAAGCAAAAAAAAAAAACAAAGGAAAAAAAGAGAGAGAAAAAATATTAAGATTGTTCCATATGTATGTTTTTGGTGTTAATTATATTTTCAGATAATCTTGACATATTTTGCCCAAATATACAAAGCTAACTTAACACATTATATTCCAGAGAAACTGTACCATTATGCATTCCAAACATTAATATATGAGTGATTCAGTTTCTCTGCATGCTCGCCATCATTTGGTGTAGTCACTACATTTTTTTTTAATTTTAGTCATTCTGTAGGTGTGTAGTGATATTCCATTATTGTTTTAATTTGCGTTTACTTAATGGCTAATGATGTTGAACATGCGCATATTAGCCATCTTATATCCTTTCAATAAAAGATCTCTTCATGGCTTTGCCCATTTTCTGATTATATTGTTGTTTTGTTTGTTTTTTGTTAACTTGACAGTTCCTGATACGGTCTAGATATTAGTCCATTGTTGAATACGTGAATTTAAAATATTCTCTCCTGGTCTGTAGCTTGGACTTTCATCCTTGTAACACAATATTTCACAGACTAATAGTTTTTCCCTGCACACACTGTGATATTGAGGTGAAGCTTAAAATCTCTATTCCCAACCCAAGACGATAATATTTCCTGTTATTGTTTTCTAAAAGTTTTATAGATTTACATTTTACATTTAAATCCATAATCCATTTTGAGTTTCTCTATCATCTGAGGCTTAGGTCCATGTATTTTTGTTTGTTTTGTCTATGTATATCCAATTATCCAGCACTACTTGTTGAAAAGACTCTTTTCCATTGAGTTGCTTTTGTACTGTTGCCAAAAATCAGGTAGGCATATTTATGTGAGTCTATTTTGGGTCCTTGCTTCATTGATCTGTATGTCTATAACTGTGCTTGTTCCACATGATCTTGAGTATTGTAGCTACTGAAACCTGGTATTTCTTTTAAATCCACTGTCAGTTTAATATAGCAGTCAATTCAAGTTAAAAGTCTTTAGATAAATAATATCATTTAAAAATATTTTAGGGAATTATAATATTTTTGATTATAAAACTCAAGTACTTTTCTTACTATTACATGTGATTTTCAAAATCTCAATGAACAGAGATAACACAGAGCAAAAGTAAAGGATAAAGGTCAAACTTTATAACAGGGAGATATGTCTTTGATTATAATATCCTTGCCTTTTCAGTGCAAATTATTTTAAATGAAATAATAAATATAAAATATTTATATTTACACATTTAAGTATAAAAATATAGCACATGTATATTCCAAAAGACTAAAATTATTAAATAGAAAGTCCTTTAACTGTGAAATCTCATGTATTCAAAGGTTTTCAGTGCATTATATGAGGCTTCCTGCCTTAACTCTATAAATTTTTATTGTCTGTCTTAAAGCACATAAAACTTTCTTGAATGATTTCCAATAATTTATTTTCTACAGAAACTAATTTGCTGAATTGTCTTTTCAACATTTACTTTGCTTCTTAACAGTGCAAATTTAACTAAGTACAAAATACTTAACAACCATATATATTGCTCTAATTGTGCAGAAGAGCTAACATGGAATAATGAAATGCTAATTGCAATTAAAACATTTTATTTGCTCAGAACTGATTCCTTGGCTTGTCCTACTTTCAGAATTTTCTACAACCACAAGGCCTTTGCTAAAATACCCTCAAATAATCCATTAACTGTGACCAGAATCAACATTTTACTAGTACCACTATAAATTTTTCACCTTCCCACTATATATACACTGCCCCTCAGGACACAGTCATTAGGAAACTCACTAATCTATACATATGTGAAACATGCAAATACAAGGTAAGGCTATCCTGAAAATATCAGAAGGCCTATTTGTCAGATTTGCTAAATCCCGCCACACTCCCCTCTAAAAGAGATGAACTTAGATCATTGTAGACACTTAGTAGATTGCCCCAGAGATTTGGTGGCCAGGTATGGAAGGAAGGACACTGTCTACAAACCTCTCATGTGCAATATTGATCATCAATGCCCCCTGCAGATATTGGGTTATTTCAGATTCTCTAGGTGAGTACATGACTGAGTAAAACTATGACTTGCCAAGTGAATATATCACAAGAAAAGTTATTCAAGGAAGATCACTCTTTTACCTGTTTGACATCATATGCCAGAAGAACATATTTTAAATCTGGTGAAACTGAATATCTAGATGCTTTGAAGGTTACCTAGAAATAAAAAGAAACAATTATCTTAAAAAGCTAGAAACAGCAATTAACATTCATTTAAATATGCAAATATAAAAAATCTCAATTCTCATCACAATGCTATGAAACAGGTAGTCTTATTCCTATTATAAATATGCATATGCATGTATGTGTGTGTGTTTACACAGATAGATATAAAAACTAAGAGAGGCTGAATTAGACATTTCATTAAGAAAAAATTTGCTAGCATATTTCTTAGATGATCTCACTTAAAGGCTATGTTAATGTTTTCATTATGGGAAAAAAAAATACCAAAAATTCATTGAACTTCCTAAGCAACCAAAATGTTTTTATATTTGCATTTTGGATTAATCAAAAGGAAAAGACATAGTGACATTCCATTTTGTCATGATTATCTGTCTCTGTAGTTTTGTTTTCTTAAAGGTTGCATATTTATATTTAAAAGAAGACACTTATATTAAAGACATAATATCTTTAAAGGAAATTCCCAGAGTGAAACAGGTTACAACATAAATACAGAATTGATTATATTTTTATGTATATCTACATTGTACCTGACTGATTTTGAGGTACAATTCTATCATTGAATAGACCTGACATCAGAAAGGATTGAAAATAAAGTGAAGGAGAAATACATTGAGAGTGGAAAATGATTTTATCTGAAATAGAGTTACATTTCATATCTAAAGAGAAGGCAGGAAAGTCGAGTTGATGCATCAAAAACCTACAGAATACAAACTATATATGCATTCTAGGCAAATATAGTTTGCATGGCTTTTGCAGAGAAATACATACATAAATAATTTTGTATGCCTTATGTCAGAGCAGTTTCCACAAGATTGTTCTCTACAAAAAATAGAAAGTGAAGTCAAGGTTTTCATACTTAGAAATCCTCAAAACACGATGGAAAGGATAAGAAACTCAAACTAATCAACATTTGGTAATATAACTAGTCCCCTTTGGCCATACCTGGTTTATGCCAATGAGATGACTCAACTGATGGAGGAGAGGAGGAGTGGCTAGTGATCTTCTGGACAGGGGACTGGACACCAGAATAACCAATGTCTGATTAGAGAGTTGGAACTTTCAGCCCTACCGGAGATCAGGGAAGGTGGGGAGGCTAGAGGACATTCAACCACATGGCCAATGATATAATCCATCATGTGTAGGTAATGAAACCACAATGAAAACTCTGAACTGTGACTAACAGGAGTTCCTTGCTGGTAAGCATATTGATGCAGAAGGAAGGTGGCACCCACGACAACTCTACAGAGACAGAGTCTGTCCTTGGGCCCTTCTGTATTCACCCTATTTGCTTTTCATCTGGGTCTTCATTTGTATCCTTCATAATAATCAAGTAATCATAAGTATTGCACTTTCTATATCATTCTAGCATATTATCATACCTGAAGAGGGGTTGTGGGAACCACCAAATTTGTAGCCAAGCCAGACAGAACTGCATGTAGGCTGGGGACTCAGGACTTGCAGCTGGAATCTTCAGTGGGGAAGTCACTGAGTTCTTAATCTATATGGGTGCACTAGTTCTGGGTAGATAGACTTGAACTGAATTGTAGGATACCAAGTTAGTGTCAGAGAGTTGTTGGAATGCCTTAGTCTTTTACTCTCAAGTCAGATATGCAAGGTAATAGAGTGGTCTGGGAGAAAATCATATTATATGGCAATGTTAAGATTTAGAGTTTTTGCCTACATACATCCATCTTTTATAGCCCACATATAATACACTTAAGAAGAAGTCAGAATAATCACTGGCAGTGATTCATCTCAAGGATTTGTGTGTTCAGTTTTTAAACAAGCCATTTCAATAATAATGAAAACAACAACTATAGAATTACCGTTAATCTATCACCTCTTCATCTCTGCCCACTGCTTGTAACTATATAGTTCTCAGTAAGCCCCAATCCTCCTTATGACAATATTGTGGGGTAAGTATCCTTGCTCTTAGTCTTATTCTTTCTTTTTCCTCTCATTACCTTACTGTCTATTGATGCATGATGGAATTCAGTCTGTGGAGAATTTAGGGCAACATTGAGAATACAAGGTCATCTCTCTCACTATTAGAGTATCACGTGACTTTCACACTAAGGGGAGGTTATTGTTATTTAAAAATCGGTTAAGAGGGCAATGTCAGCAATTCCATCCTTTGGGAATTAAGAACTCTAATGCCATAGTTATTAAACTGTTCTCCAAGTCACATATGAGCATACATAAGAATACAGGAGGAATGCATTTAATAAATCCTGTATTATCTTACCAGAAGTAGTTTCTTTCTTTTTTTTAAAGAGCACTTCCCATCTGAATTTAAATAAAATCTCATCTCTCTTGTCCTATCCATTCTCATGTGATGTTCCTCACACAAATTAACTTCACATGTTCACAAGTGTGTCTGTGCCTCCAATAACATTTTAGCATCTTTTACAGTTCCTACAGTTATTCAGTCTGGCACTTTATTAATTATCACTATACTGCCTCCAGCTCATGCAGCACACAAACTGGGAAACTTTCCAAATGCCTTACCAAGGGCCCAAGCTGATGAACCTTCTCTGAATTTAGATACTTATGTTCAGGTCACTGGTGCTGCAGAGATTTTCTGAAGACACAAATATAAGAAACACATCCTTGCAACTTAGTCAAGGGACAGTTGAAGTCTCAGACAACCCCTCTTGACATAAGCGATTAATTTTATCTTCATTTGCATTTGAGAGATTAATTCATCCTTGCAGCCACAGGAGACCCTTTCATCTGCAATGACACTAATTACAGACATTAATATAGTTCTGTTTGAGTCTCAACTTGATATGGCTTCAAATTAGTGTTTTGGGAAGTTTATTACTGCCATTAATACTACTGTGTTACCTGCATATTTAATCACTTAATTACTATTGAAGTAAAAGAATGCAGAAATAGAGACAGATTCAAGATGGCAGCATAAGAGGTGAGACAGAGAACTCCTCCAAAAAACCAACATATATTATGAAAATATAGTTACTACAACTAATCCTGAAAGAGCAACAGGAAAGAAGGCTACACCAGTATGTATACACATGGAGAACAGAGCAGACCTCACAAAACAGGCACCAGCGCTGCTCCCCTGTGACCCCTGACATAAATCTAGGTACTGAAAAGCTCCAAATACGAGAGCTTCTGAGCACTAGAGGGCGCCACATAAAAATATGAAACATCAAAGGAACCTGGTTCAGACCAAAATCTCAAAACACCAGAAAAAGGTCCACATGAAACTGAACTGACCAATCTTCCTGAAAGTGAGTTCAAAATAAATATCATAAACATGCTCATGGAGATACTGAAAAATACTCAAGAACTCAGGAACAAATTTAGGACAGAGATTTAACATTAAGAAATTCCGTATCTGAAATGAAACATACAAAGGAGGGATTTAAAAGCAGATTGGATGTAGTAGAAGAGACAGTAAATGGAATGGAAATTAGAGAAAAGGATCACAAAGAAGCTGAGGCACAGAGAGAAAAAAGTATCTCTAAGAATGAAAGAATATTGAGAGAACTGTGGACCAATCCAAACGGAAGAATATTAGCATTATAGGGGTGCCAGAAGAAGAAGAGAGAGGAAAAGGGATAGAAAGTGTTATTGAGGAGGTAATTGCTGAAAAATTCCCCAATCTGGGGAAGGAGACAGTGTCTCGGGCCATGGAGGTGCACAGATCTCCCAACACAAAAGACTGAAGGAAGACAACACCAAGACATATAATAATTAAAATGGCAAAGATCAAGGATAAGAAGAGACTTTTAAAAGCATATATAGAGAGAAAAAAGACCACGTACAAAGGAAAGCCCATCAGGCTATAATAGGACTTCTCAACAGAAACCTTACAGGTCAGAAGGGAGGGGCATGACATATTTAATGCAATGAAACAAACAGAAGGGACCTGAACCAAGAATACTCAGCAAGGTAATCATTTAAATTTGAAGGAGGGATTAACAAATTTCAGATAAGCAAAAGCTGAGAGAATTTACCTCCAACAAACCACCTCTACAGTGCATTTTGGAGGGACTGCTATAGATGGAAATATTCCTAATACTCAATAGCTGTCACCAGGAAAAATAAAACCACAGCAAAGTAAAACAATTAATTACTAAGGAGATACAAAATCAAATTACCACCCTCAAAGTCAATCAAGGGATAGACAAAGAGTACAGTTAGATACCTAACATATAAAGAATGAAAGAGGAAGAAAAAGGAGGAAAACAAAAAAGAACCCTAGGTTGTATTTGTAATAGCATACTAAGTGAGTTAAGTTAGACTGTTAAATAGTAAGGTTGTAACCCTTGAACCTTTGGTAACTACGAATCTAAAGCCTGCAATGGCAGTAAGTACATACCTATCGATAATCACCCTAAATGTAAATGGTTTGAATGCACCAATCAAAAGACATAGAGTCACTGAATGGATAAAAAAACATGACCCATTTATATGCTGCCTAAAAGAGACTCACTTCAAATCCAAAGACATAAACAGACTGAAAGTAAAGGGATGGAAAAAGTATTTCATACAACCAATAGGGAGAAAAAAGCAGTAGGTAGTACTTGTATTACAGAAAATAGACTTCAAAACAAAGAAAGTAATAAGAGACAAAGAAAGACATTACATAATGATAAAGGGCAGTCCAACAAGAGGATATAACCATTATAAGTATCTATTCACCCAATACAGTATCATCTACATATGTGAAACAAATGCTAACAGAACTAAAGAGGGAAAGAGAATGAAATGCATTCATTTTAGGAGACTTCAACACCCTACTCACTCCAAAGGACAGATCAACTAGACAGAAAATAAGTTATAGTACCTCTGTACTGAACAACATATTAGAACAGATGGACCTAACAGACATCTACAACATTCACTCCATCCAAAAGTAACAGGATACACATTCTTCTCAAGTGCACATGGAACATTTTCAAGAATAATATATACTAGGCCACAAAAAGAGCCTCAATAAATAA